AAGTACTGTAGTGCAATCTCGGTCATGAAAGTTGAATTTACAAATGTAGAATTATGTATTAAAAAACCCTAGCATTCAAAATCAAATAATGTAAAACTTTAAGGCCTACAAGTCCACTCAATCCTACTTCTTGTTCAGCCAATCGCTCAGACAAACAAGTATGTTTACATTTGCAGAATGCTGCCTACTTCTTGTATACAATGTCATCTGAAAGTGACAACAGGTGTTTGCATGGCACTGTTGTAGCCGGCGTTGCAAGATATTTACATGCCAGATGCGCTAAAGGTTCATATGTCCCTTCAGTGTTCCTCTTAGCGATTGGCTGAACAAGAAATAGGACTGAGTGGACTTGTCCAATCTAAAGTTTTACATTGTTTTGGTTCTGACTGCAGTTATGTAACAAAATAACCTACATTTGTAAGTTGCACTTTCATGATAAATAGATTGCACTACAGTACTTGTATAAGGTGAATTTAAGAATACTATTTCTTTTGTCATTTTTAAATGCAAAATATTTGTAATAAAAATAATATAAAGGGAGCACTGTACACTTTGTATTCTGTGTTGTAATTGAAATAGATATATTTGAAAATGTAGAAAGACATCCAAAAATATTTAATACATTTCAATTGGTATTTTATTGTTTAAAAGCACGATACATTTTTAATCATGATTAATTTGTCTGAGTTAATCCCATGAGTTATCTGCAATTAATCGACAGCCCTATTATTGATATAATTATCTGAAAAATAATTGAAGAAATTGTTTTTTCAATTTGTTTATTCTGCATACAGCTAACCTCTCTATTCACAAACATTCTCACTTGTTTGTGTAAGGGCTTGTCTACACTTAAAATGCACACCTATGTGACAGGAATCAGGGGGTAGCCGTGTTAGTCTGTATCTACAAAAACAACAAGGAGTCTGGTGGCACCTTAAAGACTAACAGATTTATTTGGGCATAAGCTTTCGTGGGTAAAAACCTCACTTCTTCAGATGCATAGAGTGAAAGCATAGGTACTCCACCTCCCCAAGAGGCAGTAGCTAGGTTGACAGGAGAATGCTCTATACTGTCTACATTGGAGGTTAGGCTGGTTTAACTGCATCACTCAGGGTTGTGGATTTTTCACACCCCCAACCGATGTGGTTATTCTGACTAATATCCTAATGTACTCCAGGCATACATCTGCCATACAGTAAAAGGAGAAAGAAAAGCATATTATTACTGAGAGAACCTGGAAGTGGTCTTGTTTTATTTCTACCAGTCACCAAAGGTGAAAACCACCCCCTATTTCAGGGGAAGGCAAACTACGGCCCACGGACTGGATCCAGCCAGTCAGGGGTTTCAATCCAGCCCGTGGGATTGCCAGCCCCGTGGCACAATGGGGCTAAGGCAAGCTCCCTGCCTGCCCTGGCCCTGCGCTGCTCTCGTAAGCAGCCAGCACCACATCCCTGCACCCCCCCCGGGGTGGGACTGGGACGGGGGAGGACACAGTGGGAGGCAGAGGGCTCCTTGCACTGCCTTTGCCCGCAGGCACTGCCCCCCCCCAGCTCCCATTGGCCAGGAACGGGGAACCGCGGCCAATGAGAGCTTCGGGGTTGGTACCCACGGGCGAGGGCAGCGCACAGCAGAGCCGCCTGTCCAACCCCACCCCCAGGAGCCACTGCCGGACAAGCTGGCCACTTCCGGGAGCGGCGCGGGGTCAGGGCATGCAGGAAGCCTGCCTTAGCCCTGCTGCCACCTTAGAGCCGCTTGAGGTAAGCAGTGCTGGGCCGGAGCCC